AAATAGAATTATATATAATAGCTCGAATTACAAAAATAATGCTACATTATAGTTGTTAACTTATATGTAAACTACATGTATTTTACATATGTAAATTTTATTTTAGCTTAGGTAAATTTTATTTTAGCTTACATAAATTACTTGTAAGTTTTGGTTTTAATTAGTCAATTGTTTAGCTATTGAGGCTATATCAAATTGATGTTAATGCTAGTAGAAATTATCACATGATTCAGCTAGCTTTAATACTATATTGTAACTTATATAAAGGCTAAATAAGTTATATGTAATTTTTAATAACTCTATGCTACGCAGTCTCTGTGACAAAAATCTTATATATTTGGCCTGTATTAATGTAATTTAGACTAATAATTATAATTTTGACTAGACATTAGGTCTGTCATGTAGTAAAATTAATGTTAGCCAATCATAATTAATAGTTATCTGTGACATTTTGAATTTAAATGTTAGCTTTAATAATTTCAGGTCAGAATCGAGTCGAGTTGAGTTCAAGTTACTAACTCAAAAGCATTTCAACTTTACTCGAACCTGGAGTTAACTTAGTAAGAAAAATTGCAAAAAAATAAGCGTAAGTTAAATTAAAAATTTAGATCCAAAGTACAAATTTATCCTATTAAATAATATCATAGAGAAAGCAAAAAATTTTTATTAGCATGGGTTATTGGGGTATTTCAAATACTAATTTGTCAAAATTATGTAAGGGTGCAGTAATAATAATACTACTATTAGATTTTATACATAAAATTAATCGACAAAATTGAGATATCTTTACTAGTAAATTACTATCAAAAAAAGCATTCAAAAAATTGCATCAATTCGTGTACTAGTAATTTTTTTCTAGTAATTTTTGTAGCAAACAATTGCCATAATGTAACTCAAAGAAGTCATAGTTTAAAAATTTTAATTAATCAACTATTTTAAATATTACATTAGTAGGACTTTTTTCTTTTGTTTTACTATATATGCTCTAGCCAAAATATATTTTTATTATGAATCGGTCTTAATAACCAAAAATTTAAAACTATAATTGTGTAAAGAAACATTTTATTATATTATATGTAAAGTTTTATTGTAAGCTTTGTGATAGTTTTGATGCTTATACTCTTTAAGATCAGCTTTGTTATTATTTATATGTTTTAATCAAAAAATCATGAGCGTTTGTTATAAATCGACTTTGCTAACTGAAAATTTAAAACTGTAATTATGTAAAGAAACATTTTATCCTATTGTATATAAGTTTTATTATAAGCTTTTGTGATGGTTTTAATACTGATGCTCTTTAAGATCAATTTAAGGAAGTTTTTTATCATATTATATGTTGGTTTAATTGAAAATTTTTGTGATAATTTTAATACTAAATTTATAAGATTTAGCTTTTGTTGCAATTAGATGTTTAACTAAAAAAAAATATACGCATTTGTTTCAAATTAGTTTTTGCTAATAAAAACATAAAAATATAACAAAAATAGTTTTCACGTATTATCATTTTATAGTTTTTCGTATATTATCATTTTATAGTTCCACATATCATCGTTTAAACCTAACTTTTTTTTAACCCAATATGCTATATATTCTAAATGCAAAGTGTATTTAAAAAAAGTATATTACTTATTAGCCAAAAAGCGTAAAATAAATTTGCACAAAAAGTTTATTAATGAGATAATAAAGCACTTGAAAAATATTTCTATTCACGAACTTAAAATTATATATGATAAGATTCTTAATAACTTGAATATTAATACACCTACATATAATACAATCATTCATACCCTTAACATTATGCCTGATACAGATCTTAAGGCAACTTCTCATCTTTTACGTACTATAAAGTATTCGCATAGAAAGAATAAAGATCAAATTGTTTCTCCTTATATTCAAAAAAAGGTATTTAATTATATATCTGACTCTCTTTACAAGTCTAAAAAATCAATAAAAGAATTAAGTAATAGTAACAAACAACTCAAACAAAATAATAAAAAATTACAATAGTCTAATAACTGTGTAATTCATAAAGTTCAAAAACTTAATAGTTCTATTGCATAATTTAAGTACAAGTATTGCCAACGTATAACTCAAACTCATGCTATAGCCAGAAACCTACTCGAATTAAAAGATATAAAAACTGTGATTAGCAATCTAATAAAAAAAAATAAAAAGAAATATAACACAGACTTCATTAGACTTACTCTACAAGTTTCCCAAATAGGCCAAATATCTTTTAATATCATGGCAGCTAGTATAAATACTATTTTTAATTTTTTAACAGGTGATAATTCGCAATTCTGGATTTCTGCAGTAACTATCAGTTGTTGGCATCGCAAAGTATCTGAATTATACATTAGAAACATATTCCAACAAGCCAATTAATCAAGCTATTTTATATTTGGAATAATAACTGATAAGTCTGGTCATGGTGAAAAGAAGATATTAGTAACTTGTTTCATGTTCTGGAATTCTGCAAAAAATATACCTGATGTCATACTATTGGAAACAAAAGATCTTCAATGTTGTAATTCCGATACAGTTAGCCAAGCTCTTAGTGAATCTGTGCTAAATATAATCTTGATATTTTGCATTGTCTTACTTTTCTTTCAGACAATACAAATTATATAAGTGGTCATGTTGGAAGTGCTGTAACAAAATTTAAGCAGTTAACTAAAAGCAATTGCATTCGAATTCCTTGTGAATTACATGTATTACATCTAATTCTAAACAATTTTGAAGAAATAGCCTTCGGTAAGCTTCTAGTAAATATTGGATTCTCTAAAATACGACATCCATTTAATCTTCTCTATTTGGTATGGATGTTATATGACAGTTATAATGATAGTGATAGAGATTCATCTTTAAATATGAAAAGTGAAACAATTAGAAATTTGTACAAAACATAGCTTAATTATAAATTAGACAAATATCAACACCCATTACGATCAAGATAGTAATATGAATTAATCATGGCTGAACAATATCTTAAAAGGCGTGAAATTAATATAGAGTTTGTTGCATAGTTTCTTCCAAAGCTAAAAACTCTAAAAAAAGTACCACAATCTTATATTGAAAAGTGGGAACTACTTGAAAATTGGTTAAATGACTTTGAACTAAACATTGAAATACAATGTTTAGTTAAATTTGGCTAAGAATTTTACTGCCCATATGACAGATTGTACAATCTAATAATTCATTACAATGTTTGCTATCTGGTCATCAGGCTCATCAAATGCCAGATTTTATTATTAACTCAACACATAAACTCACAAGTATTTTAGACAATTCCTATCTGTTTTTCAGTGATGAACTTCTGCAAAGTACAGAAGTTATAGATAATTCGGAAATAGAATTATTAGTTTATAGATTAGAACATAGAATTCAAAAAGGATTTGAATTATATCAAAAATGGTTGGATTGTTGGCTTCATCTTCCCTTAATCATGTGTTGTCTTGGTGGAGATAATGCCAAACAATTTACATGTAGTTATTGGCATATCATTCTTAAAAAATCTTGGCTAGGAGTTCCTAGTTTAAAAGAACTTTGCTATGCAAAATTTCTTGAAAGAGATATTATAGAACAAAATTTTAATAATTTTGGTTTTAAGAATGCATTAACTAAAGAATTATTATTTCAAAATTTAGCTTATTTGTTAATGATTCGATAGTTCTAATTCACTATTGTCTACAACTCTACGACTTTGTAAAAAACAAGATTTGGTACATTATAATCTATCAGCAACAGATAGAAGGCTTGTTTAACAAGTAGGATTTAAAAACGTATTCCAATATGATTGCTGAGAATCAGTAATCTAAAATACGCCTTTCAATAACTGAAATAAAAGAATTTTAGTTTACTGACGAACAACTTAAAGAGATCTGAAGTGAAAATAGACTAGCTTACAGACAACAAGATTCCACTTTATTAGTTCTCCAATCGGATCTACAACAAGAACAAGCTGCAAATAATCTTTTTAAAGAATTATTTATATGTCAATAAAGTTTTTTCTTTTGAAAAATTTTTTATAATAGTTTTAAAATATTAATACCAATAGATAATTTTTTTTGTTACACATAGACCTTGAATTTTATTGGCTAAATAATATTGCCAGAGTATAGCTAGAATCTACATAGGTACAAAATGTTCAAATAATATGTAAAAAATCTATATTAGTAAATTCTATTATGGTACCTCATATAGACTTGATTATTTAATATATGTAATACCCCAATGGGTCATGTATAGAGATGGGCATTATGCACCTTATCACTGCATGGTGCTTAATTGTTACGTTGTTAATATTATGAAAATCACATTAGATTGTGATGTTTGTATAAGTTATAATATGTGACGATTAAGCACCATGCAATGATAAGGTGCATGATGCCCATCTAATTTTACTAACCATTATCTATCATACTTAAAAAAATTATAATAATATATATTCGTTTCTATATTCGATCCTATGTTTGCTTCTACGTTCACTTCTATTACTCTAATATAGATAAACTATTATTACATTGGAAATTATTCTATGTTCTAGTACACATATCATATCGAGTTATAGATGCTCTATTATTTATTTAAACGACTACAAAAATATTATAAAAAAAGTAGTTAATCTGTAGTATACGTAAATCTTATTAAAACTCTTTAAAGAGTTTATTCAATAAACAATAAAACAACACTTTGTCTTCTTATTTTTACTAAATTATCATCTTTGTTACTTCGTTTTTTTTGTTGCTCAAACGTGAGATTTTACCAATTTAGCTTACATACTGTACCTTTTTATATACTAACTTTGCTGAGTAAATCTTAGATTATCTCATCTTCAGGTCTAGTGTACTAAGCAAACTTAAAGTTTCCGTACAGTACTTTAATAATATCAGTTGAATCCCTTTGAATCCCACGACCTTCAACTACCCGAGCTTCTGAAGAAAGTATATAAACGGATCAATTGAATCATCGTGTAACGATCTACAAACTCGGGGCTCGCATTAACTCGTACTGCATTACGAAATACATTTTTACATAGATCTATGTAGAATTTTTACATAGATTTATAAAAATTCTATTTAAATTATACATGGATTTACAAACCCAATGTAGACTTATGTAGTTACGTATAATTTCTATACTTATGTAAATATAAATAACTTTTCTATATAGAACAATATTTATATAGAAATAAATAGAATTTTATATAAACTTTATATAAAAATAATATATAGAAATTATAACTATATAAGTCTATATTAGGTTTGTAAACCTATATAGAAATTCTATGTATACGTATAACATTTATATAAACTTGTAAATCGATTTAGATTTTATAATAAAAAATACAGTTCATGACGTAATTCTATACCTATTTTATTCAAACAACCCATTTTTTTAAACGGATCAATTTTATCGGAATTTTGGAGGATATACCACTGAATCGAATATTCTGATTTAACAATTTGATTATTTTCATGGTTAAAAGATTTATGATATTCAGGTTCTACTATTATGTCATCATCTTCATATATACCAGAAATAAAGCTACTACCTTTCAATAGAATTTTTTTTAGAATATTATTTTAATTATTAATTGAATAATAATTTAAATTACCTGTAAATATATCTTTTTCCCTATTAAAAGTTTAAATGTATAATTGTAACAATATAGATAGCAATGGAGAATCAAGAAAAAAATATAATGCTTACATATCAATAAACTTATGTATCGCATGTATCGCACCAGAATGACCCTTTTCAGCGGCTTTTTTATAATGTTCGAGGGCTTTACGTTCATCTTTTTCAACTCCAATTCCCTTCAGATAACATTCTCCAACTGTATAGCTTCCATTAGTAAGACCCATCTCGGCAGATTTTTTATACCACTTGAAAGCCCTAATCTCATTTTCTATGACTCCGATTCCTTCTTGATAACATTTACCAACATTGTATGTTCCAAGCATGTGATCACTCTTTGCTGATTCCATGAACCATTCAAAAGCCAGACCATCATTTTTCTCGACTCCGATCCCTTTTTGATAACAATAACCAACCATAAATTTTGCACCAGCATCTCCCATATCAGCAGCTTGTTTATAATAATGGTATGCCTTATGTCCATCTTTATTCACTCCATTTCCTTTTTGGTAACAAACACCAATCATATATATTCCCCGAATAAAACCCATATCTGCAGATTTTTGATACCATTCAAACGCTTTTTTTTCGTCCTTTTCAACACCAACACCATTTCTAATAATTCATTATTCAAAAGAA